CCTTCTCCCAAACAGCTTACCATTTTTAATACTGGAAGTTATTCATGTCTGAAATAACGTTCATTGCCATCAACATCCCAGTTTTCATCAGAACCCTGAATTTGTGCTACAACTTGATCTTCTACAAGTTATCTCCCTCGAGTCAAGTATTTGTCGGGCTATCCATTGTCTCTCGGGGCACAAAAAGAAGTCCAAGGACCACCTGTGACAGAAACAATGATTCCATTAGTCTGAATTCACAACAGGAGTTTCATTTATTAGATAAAACAATCTTTAATAGAGCATTTAACATTACCATTTTAAAACTAAAAAACAAAACATCATCAAGAACAATCATATTCTGAAAAGGCTGATTAGATCTCCAACCTGATTAAGATAGTTCCATTCTTATATTTAAAATTTATATTCTAGAAAAATGCACTGAGAGAGGAACACTCCTCAACTAGATTCTTACACTGCTCAAACCAAAACCCAGGGCCAGTTTAAAAAGCCTCCAAAATAAAATTCTTATTGATAGATCTCATCCCCCAATCCTGCAACGGCTGTACTATTTAACAAAAATTGGATTTAAAAAAAAAAAAAAGTCATAAGTAGCTGCGTTCCCTACTTCTTCCATAAGTAACTTCACTGATCTTACAGATTTTGGTCAGAGATTACTCTTGAGTTTTATTCTTTTGAGCACTCACAGAGCTGTCTTTACAGAAGTGTTTGGACCTAATACAGCTGAGGCAGATTTAGCGTACAAACATTGTCTTTTTTCTCCTTTTTCATTGCCATCTCATTCAGAAAAGTAGTTAACACGCATACTTAAGTTTAAGCATGTGTGCAGTCCTACCGAAGTAACTGTCTTGCTGCTCTAGGGCCCTGGGTCCTCAGCAGTGTCAGACTTACTCTCTGCCTTCTTCACTAGTAACAAAACCAAGAGTTTTAGCAACAAAACATTTGGGCCAAGGACATAGGAAACCGGGAGAAAAGTACAAAACCCCAAATGAATCTAACACAAAACAGAGATGGGCAAGAAGGGGGTGAATGCAGCTTTCTGCGCTGATGTGGTAGGTGCTAGTTACCAGCTTGGCACCAGTCCCTGTGTTACCCCAACTCGTGTCAGGTGTTAGCAGACAGGACAGGCACCGAAGAGTGAGGGTGAGACTGCTGGGGCTCTCTTCTTGCCTGCTGGAGGTTCCCCTCCAACACAGGGATCCGTTGGAGGGATAGCCAGGGCACCTTTGGACCTCAGCACATAAAGCGCCCAGGAAAAAGCAACCCACCAGGCCAAGAGAACAGTTTCAAAAGGAAGAGAAAGAAGAGCAAGAGGTGTAAAAGAGAGCTTTCTTCATTGACCTTAAGAATGGTCCAGTCCTGCAACCACTGAGTACCCAAATGCCCCTGTCACTGGAATACAGGTGAACATCAACTGACATTTTAATGTAACAAGTGGTAAACTAATCTCCGTAGTCAAAGACTTAGAACTGCTCTCTCACCTTGTTCTTGATGCATTGTTTTTCTTGGCATGGGTAACAACAAAGGCATAAGGATACTAGCAATCACTGAATTTGTGTGTAATATTACATAAATCACTTTTAATGGTCTCTTCAGTTTTCGGAGTTGCTCTAATCCAATGTTGATCAAGTAAAAACTCCACTGGTTGCAAAGTACTAGTAGTTCTTTAATTCACCTTCCCTAAGGCTAGTTATTTCATCTTTTCAGGGTGGAACTGTTGAATGACCTTATTTCTGATCTATGAATATCAGCCATGGAAAACAAGACACATTAGGATGATTTACACCAAACTTCTTTTCAAAATGAGCTATTATTCTTTTTAAAATTAATTATTAAAGAAAGCACATCCATTTAAAGTTCAAGCTGCATGAATGTGCTATCAAGATATGGCCACTGAAATCCTTATGCCTTGAATGTTTCCCTTGAACTTTGTTTCAAAGTTAAAAGATCACAGACATCATAAACCAAATTCAGTCTTTGCGTAGGCTAGCATTAAATCACAGCTGTCCCCATCAGGACTGAATTGGTGTCAGGCACCTGTTAGATTACAAAGCCACCATAAAAAAAAAAAAAAAAGAAAAAAAAGAACAGACCAGAACTATGAAACTTATTACAAGTCAAGTACATTAAATAAAAGAGGATCCTACCAGTTGCATCATCAGCTTCTGTGTCTAGAAGAGCATCTACTGAAGCCATGCTTGTGACTATGAAGGAGTCTGTAGTATCAGACACTCCTCGCTTGCTGAGACAAACTTCTTTGAGATACTGACTTCTCTGCTTTGATCAGTGTCTTTTACTAACCTTCTCACTGTCAGGAAGGTTACACCACTTGTTGAGAAGGTTTTTCTAGGCCTTCCTACTATTTCCCAATGCACTTTTTTAATCATAAGTCCATAGGTTCAATTTGTAGTTATCTTCCAAAAATATTTATATAATAGAGAGTGGGACAGAGATGCAAGATGTTTTCCCCCACCAAATCCACCTTTTTGGTAAAGTGTTAAATACTCCTTATCTCTGTTAGTCCTCTCTTGCAAAGAAGGAAGAAAGTCTTCAATGAGATACATTTTCTTCAGGAGGTATCTTCTGTTCCTCCCTGACCTTTTTTCCAGTGGAATTTTCATCCTGTGTCCTTTTTCCTCAATAAATGTGCCAGCAAAAGACTTATTAATAAATATAGGTCGTTGTAAAATCAGAAGTTTCTTTCTTATTACAGCTCTGTAAAAAGTTGTAACTGTCTTTACAATTAGCAAGCTGCAAATTAGTTGTATGTATAAATCAGATCATTTTCAATGTAATCTCTTCCTGAATAATCTGAATTAGTGTAAACAAGACTCAGGAAACTTTCTTCTTCATACTCACAAGTATTAGGCCAGGGTATTCTAAATACTTATGCCTCATCATAAATTTAGTCACCTGAGTAACCCTTTCTTAATTCAATGCCAAGTTTAATAGTGGTTCTCACATAAGTAAAGTTATGCCCAGGCATAGGTTTTTTGCAGGATTAATCAAAAACACTTTGCACACCTTTTTGAATCTTAATTATGTTCTTTCCAAAGTTTCCTTTTATCCATGTACTAAAAAAATATTTACTTTGAAGAAAAAAAAGACTTCAAAATTTTAAAAAACTTGTTATTATTTTTTCCTAAAACAGACTAAAAACTATTTCCCATCTTGTACAAAGCATCTACTTGTTTCAATTAATCCTTAATTTCAGAGGGTAAACCAGTATCTAGTTCATGTTCCAGTCTAAAATAATTTATGTTCAGAAGAATGCTCTGTTCTCCTAGCTGTAGGAGATAACTGTTGCCAGTTTGCTGCAGTTCTTAACAGCCGCTATGACAGAAAAGGCAAGAACAAGAAATGCAGTAAGAGCGAGCAAGTGAGCACATGTTGGGATTCAAGAGGGATTACGTGAGATCTACAGTAGAGAATATGCGCACGCATAGAGCCCAAGGATTCAGTTACGTTTCCAGAAAACAGGCACCACCTTTATTTCAGACTTATTACCAGACATGTCTGTATTGCAGACTCCCCACAGAAGTGCTGAAGTATGTATTTAGTAATTAAGGGGGAGGAGAATTTGACCCTTTCCCCTGGAGTAACCCCAGTAATAAGCCTATCTGGACCCTTTCTCCCTCCACCTGAAAATCTCCCAGGGAACAGGGGTAGTCAAGCGCTGACTTGGACTTCTGGAGTAACTGATTCTCCTAATATATAGTATTGCAGTGTGCAACCCTGCTAGCTCCAGTGAATTAAATTTCTGTCAATGAAAGCGAAAAGAGAACATAGCTTTTAGAATTTACATCAGTGGCAACCAGAGGGAGAAAAAAAAATAAAATCTGTTAGTCTTCATTTTGAACCTGTGTGTTGGCATTCCACTATGGCTGAATAAAACTGAAACGTACAACCCATTTGAATTACCTGACTTAACCTTAAAAAGCTAAGTGTGCCACTGTTTGCCAAAGTCCAGTATTAGCTACCTTCATTAGGCTAGCTTACAGCAAAGCCTGGGCTCAAGTTCCCCCTCAGATGAATTTTAAACCACTAGCTAAAGAACTTAGTGGAGTTATAATAAAAAACCTGACAGCCAGTTGTGAAAAAAATAAAAGCAGCATCTCACTCATCATGGAGTGAAATTCTGCTTTCATTAACAACGCAGCTCTCTTCACATGCTCCTGTATTTTTTTCAATGAAAGATGCATTGAGTGCACAGATTTGGTACACGTGCACAGCAGCTGGTCTGACATGATAAAGCAGAATGAATGTGAAGAAGTTCCTGCCCGTCTGACCAATAATCCATGCACTAAGAGGGATTTACTCAATCGACCATCACAGATTCTATCCTGTCAAAATTCGAGATTTTTTTTTCTTAAGGACATGCCTAAATCTGTTTTCTGTCAGATGTTTCCCATTCCCCAAAGACCTAGATAGCAAGTAGGAAGTGAACAAAGACAATGAAACGACTGCCTTGGTTTGTTTTATTGGTGGTTTGTGTTTTTTTCCTGAATCCTGCAACGTCTATAACTTAGTATTTGCTCGCTTTGAAGCTCCAACCGTAGTATTTATTACTGGAGACATTCTTGTAACTCAGCAAAAATCAATCAGAAGAACAGCATCCAGCATGCGCAGGCACACACCGTATGCCACAGCAGCATCCCCAGTACCACGTCTGAATTCCGTTCTTAAGTGAGGCTTCCTTGCCTTTCTTTTCTGCTAGGTGGGAACTGTCGAGAGCTAAAAATAGCACCACGATTCGGTGGCGGGCGCTAAAAATACCCTTACCCGCTCGATCACCGACTCGGTAGGGAAGACGAAGCCCTCGGCATGTGTCACAGCCTATAACCGCTGCCTGGGGATGAAGGCAGGGAGCGCCCGGCCCTGGAGTTGCGCGCCCGGGCAAAGTTTTACCGACAGACGGAGAGACCCCGGCGCTGCGCCCCGCAGCCCCCCACCCCCACCCCGGGCGACCCCCCCTCCCGGGCCTCCCCGCCGCCCCTTACCCGCGTTCCGCAGTTTCTTGTTGCGGTAGACGGAGAGGATGACCAGCAGGTTGCCCAGCAGGTCCACCGCGATGGTGAAGATGAGGATGGCGGCCAAGGTGGAGGTCACCCAGGGCGGGCGGCGCGGGGCGACCTCGGCCGGCGGGTCCCGCGGGAGGACGGAGCCGTTCAGCTCGCTCCCGTTCACTCTCATCCTGCCGCCGCTACCTCCTCCTCCTCCTCCTCCTCCCAGTGCGGAGCCGGGTGCCGGCGGAGCGGGCGCGCCCCCCAGCGCTGCCTCCCGCGGG